TTCTAGTTCTGTTCTAGTTCTGTTCTAGTTCTATTCTAGTTCTGTTCTAGTTCTGTTCTAGTTCTGTTCTAGTTCTGTTCTAGTTCTTTCTAGTTCTGTTCTAGTTCTAGTTCTAGTTCTAGTTCTGTTCTAGTGTTCTAGTTCTGTTCTAGTTCTGTTCTAGTTCTGTTCTAGTTCTGTTCTAGTTCTGTTCTAGTTCTGTTCTAGTTCTGTTCTAGTTCTGTTCTAGTTCTGTTCTACTTCTGTTCTACTTCTGTTTTAGTTCTGTCTTCTAGTTGTGTTTGGTTGTGTTCTAGTTCTGTTAGCTGTGTTCTAGCTGTGTTCTAGTTGTGCTCTGGTTGTGTTCTAGTTCTGTTCTAGTTCTGTTCCAGTTCTGTTCTAGTTCTGTTCAAGTTGTGTTCTAGTTCTGTTCTAGTTCTGTTCAAGTTCTGTTCTAGTTCTGTTCTAGTTCTGTTCTAGTTCTGTTCTAGTTCTGTTCTAGTTCTGTTCTAGTTCTGTTCTAGTTCTGTTCTAGTTCTGTTCTAGTTCTGTTCTAGTTCTGTTCTAGTTCTGTTCTAGTTCTGTTCTAGTTCTGTTCTAGTTCTGTTCTGGTTCTGTTCTAGTTCTGTTCTAGTTCTGTTCTAGTTCCGTTCTGTTCTAGTTCCGTTCTGTTCTAGTTCCGTTCTGTTCTAGTTCCGTTCTGTTCTAGTTCCGTTCTGTTCTAGTTCCGTTCTGTTCTAGTTCCGTTCTGTTCTAGTTCCGTTCTGTTCTAGTTCAGTTCTAGTTCTGTTCTAGTTCTGTTCTAGTTCTGTTCTAGTTCTGTTCTAGTTCTGTTCTAGTTCTGTTCTAGTTCTGTTCCAGTTCTGTTCTAGTTCTGTTCTAGTTCTGTTCTAGTTCTGTTCTAGTTCTGTTCTAGTTCTGTTCAAGTTCTGTTCTAGTTCTGTTCTAGTTCTGTTCTAGTTCTGTTCTAGTTCTGTTCTAGTTCTGTTCTAGTTCTGTTCTAGTTCTGTTCTAGTTCTGTTCTAGTTCTGTTCTAGTTCTGTTCTAGTTCTGTTCTAGTTCTGTTCTAGTTCTGTTCTAGTTCTGTTCTAGTTCTGTTCTAGTTCTGTTCTAGTTCTGTTCTAGTTCTGTTCTAGTTCTGTTCTAGTTCTGTTCTAGTTCTCTTCTAGTTCTGTTCTAGTTCTGTTCTAGTTCTGTTCTAGTTCTGTTCTAGTTCTGTTCTACTTCTGTTCTACTTCTGTTCTACTTCTGTTCTAGTTCTGTTCTAGTTCTGTTCTAGTTCTGTTCTAGTTCTGTTCTAGTTCTGTTCTAGTTCTGTTCTAGTTTTGTTCTAGTTTTGTTCTAGTTTTGTTCTAGTCAGTTCCAGGTGTGTTTTAGTTCTGTTCTAGTTGTTCTAAAATAATCATAAAACTGTAATTATGTATTAACAATAATTTAATTGTTGAAAAAATTCCTTAAAAATAAAACTAATTTTTATCTTTCTACACGTGTTGCTTTAATTTTTGACAGCTGTTTTAAAATTTTTTAGACTATATTATGACTAATTTATGGAATTTAGTAGAAACTGTAAATGTTTTAAGAAAAAACTTATCTAAATTTGATTATAAACTTGGAAAAAATTATAATCTCAAAAAAAAAAAAAAATATAAAATATAAAAATTAAAATACAACATGATTGACATTTAAATGACGCCTGCTTTATGACCATATTTACAGCAGACGGATTTCGAGATAAAAATTTTTGTTTAACCATAAAAAAGTGTTAAATTGTAAGCGGCTAAAATGATTAAATAAATATAACTAACCTATTCCTATAGGTAGGAATTTAACTAATTGTTATTTACTATTTACTGGAAAAACAAATCCAGTAAAATCTTATCAAGTAAATATTTGTTTTTAAATGTATTTTTAATTTTAGCTATTTAAATCATAAAAATAAATAAATTAGACTATTTAAGTGACAAATTTTATTATTTATTTTTTTTTAAACTTTTTGTCTTACTTTACACAGTAATTAACATTTATAATTCTCATTTAGTACTCTTCGTTATTTTAGGAAAAAATGTAATTCCTTTGAATTGTTTATTTAATGTTTATTTTTAACGAGAGAGACTAATTAAACGATTTGTTGTTAATTTAACTTATCAGTTTTGTTAGAATTTTTTTCAAAAGAAAATTATACAAAAATATGTCTTAAATATAAAATAGAACAAAACGGTGTTTGTTTAAATAAAGAGAATGTTGAAATTTAAAATTTTAATTAAATTTATTAAGAAATCTATCTTATAATTGTTCCAATTATTAAATTAGATCTAAAATGTTAAAGTTTATTCTAGGAAAGTTTTTTTTTAATTTATAATAAACCTATTAATAACAGTGAATCATTTAAACTTCAACAAATTTATTAATAGCGTTGATGTAACTAGTTAATTGAATATAATAAATTATAAGAACTAAACTCTTTCTCCTTTTTTAATGCCTTTTCTTATCAGTTCTTCTTTTAGTAAACATAATTTATTATATTTTTTTATAAAACTTTATAGTGTAAACAAATTGTTAAAACCGTTATAATTTGTACACGCGTAAAATTGGCAATTGTTCAAATATAAAAATGACGTTTTCTATAGACTTTAATAAAAAACAACAAAAAAATATATAAATAAAATTTATTAACATTTAATGTTAATGACATCAGAAAAAAAAACATAAAAATCAATGACATTTTAACAATAACAAATCAGAAATAATGCAGTTTCTTACCCCCACGTAAAATTTAAACCAAAATGACTCTCAAGAAATCTATAAACAATTTATTAACAAAATTGACGTAAAAATTTAATCAATTTGTAAACAAAATTTCAAACAACTCAGAATATAAACTGAACTAGAACTAGAACAGAACTAGAACAGAACTAAAACAGAACTAGAACAGAACTAGAACACAACTAGAACACAACTAGAACACAACCAGAACACAACACAACTAGAACACAGTTAGAACACAACTAGAACAGAACTAGAACAGAACTAGAACAGAACTAGAACAGAACTAAAACAGAACTAGAACAGAACTAGAACAGAACTAGAACAGAACTAGAACAGAACTAGAACAGAACTAGAACTGAACTAGAACAGAACTAGAACAGAACTAGAACAGAACTAGAACAGAACTAGAACAGAACTAGAACAGAACTAGAACAGAACTAGAAGAGAACTAGAACAGAACTAGAACTGAACTAGAACAGAACTAGAACAGAACTAGAACAGAACTAGAACAGAACTAGAACAGAACTAGAACAGAACTAGAACAGAACTAGAACAGAACTAGAACAGAACTAGAACAGAACTAGAACAGAACTAGAACAGAACTAGAACAGAACTAGAACAGAACAAAACTAGAACAGAACTAGAACATAACGTAGAACAAAAGTAGAACAAAACTAGAGCAAAACTAGAGCAGAACTAGAGCAGAACTAGAACAGAACTAGAACAGAACTAGAACAGAACTAGAACAGAACTAGAACAGAACTAGAACAGAACTAGAACAGAACTAGAACAGAACTAGAACAGAACTAGAACAGAACTAGAACAGCAGAACTAGAACAGAACTAGAACAGAAACTTTAGAACAGAACCTAGAAACAGAACTAGACAGAACTAGAACAGAACTAGAACAGAACCTTAGAACAGAACTAGAACCGCAGACTAGAACAGGAACTAGAACAGAACTAGAACAGAAATAGCACAGGAACTAGAACAGAACTAGAACAGAACTAGAACAGAACTAGAACAGAACCTAGAACAGAAGTACAACTGATTTAGAACAGAACTCGAACAGAACTAGAACAGTACTAGGAACAGAACTAGAACAGAACTCGAAACAGAACTAGAACTAGAACAGCAGAACTAGAACAGAACTAGAAACAGAACTAGAACAGACTAGAACAGAACTAGAACAGAACTAGAACAGAACTAGAACAGAACTGGAACAAACTAGAACAGAACTAGGACAGAACTAGAACAGAACTAGAACAGAACTAGAACAGAACTAGAACAGAAGTAGAACAGAACTAGAACAGAACTAGAACAGAACTAGAACAGAACTAGAACAGAACTAGAACAACACTAAAACAGAACTAGAACAGAACTAGAACAGAACTAGAACAGAACTAGAACAGAACTAGAACAGAACTAGAACAGAACTACAACAGAACTACAACAGAACTAGAACAGAACTAGAACAGAACTAGAACAGAACTAGAACAACACTAAAACAGAACTAGAACAACACTAAACAGAACTAGAACAGAACTAGAACAGAACTAGAACAGAACTAGAACTAGAACAGAACTAGAACAGAACTAGAACAGAACTACAACAGAAACTACAACAGAACTACAACAGAACTAGAACAGAACTAGAACAGAACTAGAACAGAACTAGAACAGAACTAGAACAGAACTAGAACAGAACTAGACAACTAGAACAGAACTAGAACAGAACTAGAACACAACTAGAGCACAACTAGAACAGAACTAGAACTAGAACAGAACTAGAACAGAACTAGAAAAACACTAGAACAGAACTAGAACAGAACTAGAACAGAACTAGAACAGAACTAGAACAGAACAGAACTAGAACAGAACTAGAACAGAACTAGAACAGAACTAGAACAGAACTAGAACAGAACTAGAACAGAACTAGAACAGAACTAGAACAGAACTAGAACAGAACTAGAACATAACTAGAACAGAACTAGAACAGAACTAGAACAGAACTAGAACAGAACTAGAACAGAACTAGAACAGAACTAGAACAGAACTAGAACAGAACTAGAACAGAACCAGAACAGAACTAGAACAGAACTAGAACAGAACTACAACAGAACTAGAACAGAAATAGAAATGATTTAGAACAGAACTAGCACTAAACTGAAACGGGGAACTTATTCTTTAATTAGTTCCCTTAAAACTTTTATATATTTTTTTAAAAATTTTAAATTGTTACAATTTATATAATTACCTCGATACCAGTAAAATCTCCATTCCATTTTCATTTTAATATTTAACTAAACTATTGTTGATATATCTTGTAAATTCTTAGAAATATTATGAGAAAAATTATAACTTTCTAAAAACTTTTACACACTCTCGGCAATTTTATTAATTTGTTTTAATATAAACAATTTTTATATCAAATATTTATTAATTTAATAAAATTAACATTTTATTTAAAAATTTAAAACAATTGTTTTGCCATTTGACAACTCATAATGTGACACTTCCAATTAAAAATAACCGTAATTGTTAATGACGTTTTGAAACGTACTTTTTTTTAAAATATGCAGTGTTGTATTTGTTTTAAGATTTTTTTTATAATAAACTTGACAACAATTAGGTATTAATTGTATTGATTATTTTTTTATCTTTTTCTTAGTAATTATTTATTCTATAATAATTTTTTTTCTAAACACTTCTTTGTAACAAAACTTCAATAAAATTGAAATAAATAATTGTGGTCACACAACGAGACTGTTTTAAAAAAACTTTAGAACGCACGCCGGTTTTGTTATTATTATTTTTAATTATTTATTTATAATGTTAAGAAAATCACGTAAATTCATTAAATTAAATAAACGTATTTATTTTAAAATTATATTCTTAACAATATTACTATTATTTTTTTGTAACTATTTAAGTGCTTTAGTATCGATATTATTGACTGTTGAACATTTCAAGAGCAAATAAACCTTTTTAAAAACTTTATCGTTATTTTTATACGTTTAAATGAAATAAAATTCAAAACAAAATATTGTATTGTAAAGTATTTATAAAAAAGTTAAAAAAACACAAAACAACAACAACAAAATTCTACTTTGTGCAAAGTCAACATTTACCAACATTAAATAGACAACTGCTACAACTATTAACAAAAACAACAAGAGAATAAAAACAATATTGAAAATTTTAACTACAACAACAACAATAAAGAGAGAATTTAAAACAAAACTTATATTTAACTCATCTTTATAGTTGTTATAAAAAAATTAGAAAAATTTTAAAAGTTTTTGTTAAATTTTTCTTGAAATTACACCGTTTTGAAAAGAAAATCGAGGAAAAAGTACTTTTTACTAAAAGAAAAGGTACTATAATCAGAACTAGAACAGAACTAGAACAGAACTAGAACAGAACTAGAATAGAACTAGAACAGAACTAGAACAGAACTAGAACTAGAATAGAACTAGAACAGAACTAGAACAGAACTAGGACAGAACTAGAACAGAACTAGAACGGAACTAGAACAGAACTAGAACAGAACTAGAACTAGAACAGAACTAGAATAGAACTAGAACAGAACTAGAAACTAGAACAGAACTAGAACAGAACTAGAACAGAACTAGAACAGAACTAGAACAGAACTAGAACAGAACTAGAACAGAACTAGAATAGAACTAGAACTAGAACAGAACTAGAACAGAACAGAACTAGAACAGAACTAGAACAGAACTAGAACAGAACTAGAACAGAACTAGAACAGAACTAGAACAGAACTAGAACAGAACTAGAACAGAACTAGAACAGAACTAGAACAGAACTAGAACAGAACTAGAACAGAACTAGAACAGAACTAGAACAGAACTAGAACAGAACTAGAACAGAACTAGAACAGAACTAGAACAGAACTAGAACAGAACTAGAACAGAACTAGAACAGAACTAGAACAGAACTAGAACAGAACTAGAACAGAACTAGAACAGAACTAGAACAGAACTAGAACAGAACTAGAACAGAACTAGAACAGAACTAGAACAGAACTAGAACAGAACTAGAACAGAACTAGAACAGAACTAGAACAGAACTAGAACCGAACTAGAACAGAACTGAAATGGAAATGAAATAGAACTAGAACAGAACTAGAACAGAACTAGAACAGAACTAGAACAGAACTAGAACAGAACTAGAACACAACTAGAACACAACTAGAACACAACTAGAACACAACTAGAACACAACTAGAACACAACTAGAACACAACTAGAACACAATTAGAACACAACTAGAACACAACTAGAACACAACTAGAACAGAACTAGAACAGAACTAGAACAGAACTAGAACTAAAACTAGAACAGACTAGACTAGCTAGACTAGACTATAGACTAGACTATAGGACTAGACTATAGACTAGACTAATAGACTAGACTATAGACTAGACTATAGACTAGACTATAGACTAGACTATAGACTAGACTATAGACTAGACTATAGACTAGACTATAGACTAGACTATAGACTAGACTATAGACTAGACATAGACTAGACTATAGACTAGACTATAGACTAGACTAATAGACTAGACTAGAGACTAGACTAAGACTAGACTATAGACTAGACTATAGACTAGACTATAGACTAGACTATAGACTAGACTATAGACTAGACTAGACTATAGACTAGACTAGACTATAGACTAGACTAGACTATAGACTAGACTAGACTATAGACTAGACTAGACTAGAAACTAGACTATAGACTAGACTATAGACTAGACTATAGACTAGACTTTAGACTAGACTATAGACTAGACTATAGACTAGACTATAGACTAGACTATAGACTAGACTATAGACTAGACTATAGACTAGACTATAGGACTAGACTATAGACTAGACTATAGACTAGACTATAGACTAGACTATAGACTAGACTATAGACTAGACTATATATAGACTATAGACTGACTATAGACTAGACTATAGACTAGACTATAGACTAGACTATAGACTAGACCATAGACTAGACTATAGACTAGACTATAGACTACACTATAGACTAGACTATAGACTAGACTTTAGACTAGACTATAGACTAGACTATAGACTAGAATATAGACTAGATTATAGACTAGAATATAGACTAGACTATGAGACTAGACTATAGACTAAGACTATAAACTAGACTATAGACTAGACTATAGACTAGACTATAACTAGACTATATAGACTAGACTATAGACTATACTATAGACTAGACTATAGACTAGACTATAGACTAGACTATAGACTAGACTATAGACTAGACTATAGATTAGACTATAGACTAGACTATAGACTAGACTATAGACTAGACTATAGACTAGACTATAGACTAGACTATAGACTAGACTATTGACTAGACTATAGACTAGACTATAGGCTAGACTATAGACTAGACTATAGACTAGACTATAGACTAGACTATAGACTAGACTGTAGACTAGACTATAGACTAGACTATAGACTAGATCTATAGCCTAGTCTATAGTCTAGTCTATTGTCTAATCTATAGTCTAGTCTATAGTATAATCTATAGT